CTCACAGTCTCCAAGTAAGCGCCCTGCACACAAGTCCTTGTCTCATGTTGCTTTTGGGAGGGAAAAACCTCAGGGACAGCTGGTACTAGAAATGGCAGTTGGGCGTCTGAAAATGGAGCCCTCGCCTGTGAGATGCCCATGGGGACCTGACCACCAATGGTAAGGAGGGTGGTGACCTCCTGAGCAGGCTGCTGCATCACAGTGACCAGACAGCTGCGCCAGGTGCACGGGGTGAGTTGTACAGGATTCCAGGGCAGCACTGACCTAGGCAAACACTGAACAGGGCGAACCCTCGAAAGATAAGGGCAATGTTAATTATGGGACTGTGGAGCTGGCTGGCTTTTGTTAACTGCCCTAGAGGCCTTGAAGAAAGAGAATGACAGGCTTAACCCAGGGCAAGTTGTGCAAAACTGGAGGGCCCCACAAGAGCATTCTATCACCCTCAGCTCTTGTCGGCCAGGGGCAGGCTGTGCTGATAAGCATCTTCAGGATTTGACTGTAAGGGCAGTGAAGCTACAAGTGAGACTGAATGCACAGCCACAGATGGAGGGAAAGGGCCGGGCAATGAGGCCTGGAATGGAGATATTTGGATGTACACCCTTGAGAACCTTGGATCCTCAGCTTCCTCTGAGCCCTCCAGGCCTGCAGAGGCGCCCCCTCCTTGCTAGAGCAGAATCCCCTCCCATTACCTGAATCCACACAGACATTCACCTGGATGCTTCACAAGGTGATGCTTATCTTCCTCAAGAGCCACACCACCTCCCTTCGCTGCACTAGACCAGAGTCAGCAAACGTTTTCTTCAGAGACAGAGTAAATATTTTAAGCTTTTGGGCCACGTTGCCTCTGTGGCAACTACTGAAGTCTGCCTCTGTACTACTTAAAATAATAGTGCAAAAACAGCTATGGACAATAAGTAAGCAAATGGGTGTGTCTGCATTCCAGTAAAACTTTCTATTAAAACAGGCAGCTGGCTTCTGAACTCCACTTTGCCCTCCCCTTCTCTAGACCAATAATTAGGGTTGAGTCTCAGCATTGCCCAAGCAGGAAAGTATAGTCCCTGCTACTGGAGGGAATAACTTACCAAAAAAGCTACAGGTCTGGCTGGTAGGTACTGAACAGGGAAACACACATAGGAGATGCGGGAGAGTGGGAGTGGGTCTGGGGAGAGGAGGAATACAGGGCTGGATAAAGGCTGTTTATGGACGCCTCTCTCGCGCGCGATTCAGGATTGAACACCTGGCAAGGCCCTCTGGAGCTGGTCCTCACACACTGCTGAATTGGCCTTAAAGCTTAGGCACAGTGACAGCCTACAGCCAATGATGGGGCAATGCTGAAACTGCCTTGGGAGAGTACTAGGAAGGCTTAGAAGGCTCAGAGAGGTGGACGAGATAGAATGGACTTAATGCATGAGAATCCACCAGCTTTCTGTCTCCCCACCTTAGTGCCCAGAAGACCCTTCCTTCTCAAAGTAGGAAAGGATACACTAGTAAGAAGACCCCAGTGCTGGCTGAGGAGGTGCTGCCATGGAGTCCATGGGCACTGTCACTAGAGACACTAAGATCCAGGAGGGGCAGAGGCCATAGAGGGCCACTGAATCATCAGAGGCAAGGTGGGCACAAAGCCTGAATGGTAACCACGGGTCCTTGATCTGCAGCGCCCTGTGGCAGTGGTGTCCCCACGTGTATGGGAGATGAGCGTTTAATGAGGATGTTGCTTGATTTAACCACAGCAGATCAAGGAGGGTGAGCAGAGGCTAATGCCACTGCTATGATAGAAAGTGGCAGTCTCTCACTGGTTTCCAGGTTTGCGACAGCCCTCAGACCCAAGCCCACAATACCACTGAAAGACTATAAAATAAATATCTCCTCAGTTCTTTCCCCCATGGTGTCCTCTTGCTATTTACCAGAACTGCCAGAAAGTATGGGAAGGGCATGACCAGATCTTCTGAGGTCTGTTAGATAGCGTCTGAGCTTACGCTAGTTTCAGGGGACCCCAAAATACCATTATACACTCCTTTTAGAGTAGAGGGACATATGGAATCCTGCCCTGGTCCACCCCAGAGTCCAGTGGGTCTGTGAGCCCACTCTGTGGTTATTTCCTAGCCCCTGAGTGCAAACTGGGATGAATAGACTTAACAGATGGCAGAACCCTCACACTGCTTCCCTAATGTGTAAAATAAGAACCATTATGGAAATAAGAACCAAGTAGAAGTCTCTAAAATTGTTCCACTAGTCAAGTTAGTAAATCAGAAGCAATACCACACACCACAGGTGAAATTGCAGAGATCAATCCCATCTCAAAGGATGCAGTGTGGCCCAGTCATATCCCCTGTTCAACCCTCCCCATACAGCTCCTGTAACAACCAAGCGAAGCAACATGGTAGCTCTAATTGCAGTCATTATGTCACGTACGGTATTTTTGCTAGAATAGTCTACACAGACTTTGACTGTAAGAATCTAATAGGATGGCCAATGTATTCTTTCCAATCCACATCAGGAAAGGGACGTATCACATCAGTTAAGTTTTAAGTGGTCAATGAACTGGGCCATGCTGGGATATTCCTTTTATGGGAAAGGGCAAGTTATTATACTGGGGACATTCTACCACTAAAAAGAGATATAGCCCTGGGTGGACCAATTTGGATTGGGGTGGGAGGGGGTGGCATTTGCTATGCTCCAGCCCATCTGTTGGAGGACTTGGGAAGCTGCCATATTTGAGTGGAGTCCAGAGCAAAAGAGGGCTCTGTGATGGGTTCATGCTGAGGGACAAGCACTTGGGAAGTGCAACCCAGCATATCACACAGTACTAGATAGAAATCTACACGGAAGATGAGTAAACCACGTGAAGTCTCTGGAAAGTCCTAATGGGAGAGCCTCATCTCAGGCCCCTAGGGTTCTGGAACAAAGCCATGCCCTACAGCAGAGAATGATTTAACATTTGAAAAGTAGTTCTTGGCCAAATTTCATAATTGGGAAGAAATAAAAGATTATTGTGTTAAGCCACTAAATCTTGGGGTGGTTAATTATGAACTGATAATCTGAACATGTGTATAACAATGCTGTGGGGGTTTTTTAATGTTGTATGATATTCCACTAATAAAGATACACAATTGACATATATACTCTTCTGTTATGAACATTTAGGTTGTTTCCAGTTTGGGTCTGTTAAGAAAAATGCTGCTATGAACATGTATTTTGGTGGAAGCCTGTACTCATTTCTCTTGAGAACAAATGTAGGAATAGAATTCCCGGGTCGTGAGGTAGGCAGGAGGGGAGGCATCTTTAGAAGATATTGCCAGCTTTCCAAGTAGTTGAAATATATTTCCACCAGCAACGTATAAGAGTTCCAATTGCATTATACCCTTGTTAACATTTTACATTGTCATCCGTTTTCATCTTAGTTATTCTGGTAGGTGCCTAGTGGTATCTTATTGTGCTTTTTATTTGCATTTCCCTGATGAGTAATGATGCCAAGCTACAATATGTTCTTTATTTAAAAAAAAACCTGCAACAAACCAAAATACTGACAGAGGTGACCTTTGCCAAGGTAGGGTTATGATGCTTTACTGTTTTTATTTTGTTTTTGTTTATCTCTTTTTTGGGGGGGGGGAGGGTTTGGCCTCTTGGCTCTCTGTTTGCTAAGCTTTTTGCATTAAATTTAAATGCTTAATTTTTTAAAAATTCTACAAACATTTAGTCCAAAGATGGATAAAGAATACCAAAAAGTCATTTAAAACTTTTTTAAAATAACAGAAGGAAGCAAGGAATATACAAAAACAGGTTTAGTTTCAAAAAATAATAAAGGAACAATTAAAATAATAATCATTGTCACAATCAGATTAATAAGTATTAAAAATATTGGTAATATAAATATCGGTGAGTGTGAAAGGAACTGGGTATTCATATACTCTTTTTCTTCGTCTTCTCAAAGCAACCCCTTTAGCATATCTTGCAATGCTGGTTTGGGGGAGGTATATTCTTTTAGCCTTCTTCTGTCTGGGAAACTCCTTATTTCACCTTCCATTTGGATGGAGAGTCTTGCTGGGTAGAGCAGGCTTGGTTGCAGGCCTTTGCTTTTCATGACTTGGAATATATCTTGCCATTCCCTTCTGGCTTGCAGTGTTTCTGTTGAGAAGTCAGCTGCTAGCCATATCGGGGCTCCCTTGTATGTTACTACCTCTTTCTCCCTTGCTTCCTTTAGTCTTCAATACTTGCCATTTTAATGATGATGTGTCTTGGAGTGGGCCTCATTGGGTTCCTCTTGAATAGGACCTTCTGTGCTTCCTGGATTTGTGTGACTTTTTCTTTCCTCAAATTAGAGAAGTTTTCCATCATTACGTTTTCAAACAGGTTCTCTGTCCCTTGCTCCTCTTCTTCTCCTACTAGTATCCCATTATACAGATATTGTTACATTTCAGGTTGTCCTGCATTTCCCTCAACACCTCTTCATTCTTTTTGAGTCTTTTTCCATTTTCTTGCTCTTCCTGGGAGGTTTTTTTCTACCTTATCCTCCAGCTTGCTGATTCGGTCCTCTGCCTTATCTAGCCTGCTTTTGATTCCTTCTACTGTGTTCTTCAATTCAGAAATTGTATTCTTCATTCCCTCTTTTCTCTTCTTGATCGTTTCTATGCCCCTTTTCATGCTGATATAGTTTGCAGTAAGTTCCTCTTAGTTTCCCATAGTTTTTGGTAATTCTCTCTGAGCTCACTGAGCTCATTGAGCTTCCTTAGAACCATTGTTTTGAAATCAATATCTGATAGTTTACCTGCCTCTATTTCATTTAGTTCTCTTTCTGGGGATTCCTCTTTTCCCTTCGCCTGCTTGGGGCGGGGGGTTCTTTGTCTTCCCATTATGTGTGAGACTTTTCTTTTTTGCTTCTGCTTCTTAAATTGATCTATCTTGATTTCTAAGTGCTCAATTTTTTAAATTATAAAAACAACCAAAAATTTCCACCCACTTGTTCTTAAAAATAACAAGGTATATACACAAATAAAGTCACCAAGAAATATTTATTAATTTATTGAGCACCTGTTGCATCCCCAGCACTGGGCGGGGGGATGGGGTGGAGAGGGAGGAGATGGGCTGTGAAGAACACAGAACAATACAGGAGGTGGCCCCTGCCCTTGAGAGGCGTACAGTCTCAGTAAAGACAGGAGAACCAGGACACGTGGGGAGCCAGAGAAAACAGTTTGGGCCAGGATATTACAGGAGCTGGAAGGCGTTTGGGGAAGACCCACTAAGTGCTTCAGTACCTTTAGAGGCTCGATGTTCAGCGCCAGGAAAGATAACTCACAACTCCCAGGTCTGTGTTAGCCCACTTGGCAAGCCCAGTCCACAGCCCCTACTCCCACAATCTAAAACACCTGACTCCTTGTTCAGCTGCTATTCAAAGTGCAATGGAATGGGGGAAGGGTGGAGCAGATGGGGAAGGTCCTTAGATGAGTTCCAGGGGCTGGTGTCATACTCTCCCTCCCAGAAAAATCTTCTCCGCCTACCTATCTACCCCTATCACAGAGAGACCCCCACTCAAGGAGGCCTGCCCGACCACCCAGGACCCCTATCCCCAGAGCTGAGAGGAGGGGGTGCTCGCTGCTCCAACTGCCTGAGGTAGAACGGGGAACCTACTTCTAGCTTGCCCCTCCCTCCCAGTCCACTGAGTTGGGGAGGGGCAAGCACCCCAGAGCAGCCGCCCAGAGCTGAGAGGGGACTAGAGGGAAAGGACATGGAAGAGGGGAGAGGAGCAGAGGGGACTTGAGAGCCCAGCTGGAAAAGAGGGGCGCTTGAGGCTTCTGGAAAAGTCCCATGGAAGCCAACAGGGTGGGACCACCCCTGTGGGTAGCAGAGGGGCATGAAGGGAGGTGGACACTTGGCTGCAGGACCCTACCTGCCCCACGCTGTCACAGGACAGAGTCATGGATCAAGGGCCAGGAGGATGCCAGTCACCCACCCTGTTCCAGGCTGTGCCCACTTCAAGGTCACCGTGCCCAACTTTAGAGGAAGCGAGGGGACTCCAAAGTTTGGATTATGTCCTCACTCTGCTGGGTTCTCTTCAAAGTGCTATCTCTTCTCAAATTATAAGAAATTCGGGTCTGAGAATGAAGGAAAGGAGCAGAATTTCATATTGTCCATGAGACAGTGAACAGAGGGAACCAGGCCCCTCCAGAGAGCACCACCCAACAAGTGAGGGTCATGCCGGCCCCACCTGACCTCAGGGAGGAAAGAAATAGAGAGCGTAGAATGAGGAGGTTTTAAATAAATGTTTGCATAATAAAAATACCTGGCAATCTAGTGAGCCTATCATTATGCTGTCTAATGTTTTCTTTAAATAATTCTAATGCCAGCTGCTGGCGGGGGTGGGAGGGTGGTGTCAAGCAGACTATGTACATGAGGAGGAGTTTAAATTAAAACAGACATAATAATTAAGACACACAAACTGAAGAACTAAGGCAAAAGATGTAGAATGGGCCTGCGTTTCCCATGTTTCCAGGAGCGAGAGGCTTCCAGCAGGCGAGTTAGGGCTTCCTCTTGGAGAAGATCAGCCGGCGTTTGGAGTGGTAGAAATCTAAAGAGAGAGAACAGAAGTCAGCTAGGCCCAGAGGAAGAGGGCACAGAGGGCTACCCAACTGAGGCAAACGGCAGAGGGGCCAGGACTCCTCCCTAGGCCCAAAGGGACACATTGCCTAGTACGGGGAAGAACTTGGGCAACTTCCACCCCATCTCCCAGGGTGTTTATGGAGCAACCTGCCGCACAGATGTGATGGATAGTGGGACCTTCCTCCCTGGGCCTGCTCTAACCCAAGCTGCCCAGTGCTATAGCCACCAGTCAGTCCTATGTGGTTATTTAAATTAACTAAAATAAAATGAAATGAAAAATTCACTTTCTGAGTCACACTAGCCACATGTCAAGTACTCAACAACTCTCTGTGGCTGGAGGCACTGTATACGTGCGTCACTGCAGAGCTCTGTTGGACAGCACTGCTCTAAGGATCGCCATTAGACCACCCTTGAGAAGTGTTCCGCACAATGCCAGGGCCACATAAACATTAGCTATTATTATTATCCTTACTGTTAGTTCTGACCCAGCTGCAGATTTGCTGTGGGACTCGGCTGCATCTCACTGAGCCTCACCTGTAAAATGAGGATAACACCAGCATGCTACTCTAAGGACTAAGTGAAATGCTCTCTATAAAGGTTTTGGTCTAGGGCCTGACCTAGTATGTGCTCAAATGTCAGCATCACCCATTCATTATTTATCAAGCACCTACTATGTGCCAGACACCATTCTAGATGCAAAGGATTCAGCAATGAACAAAACAGACATAGAACCCTTTCTCATGGAGATAATATCCTATGACGGAGATGGACAATATCAAGATAAGGAAGTAGCTGTTGACAATAAGTAGTACCAAAATGAACAAAATAGGCAGGGCAGAGGGACAGGAAGAGTGTGTGTGTGTGTGCGTGTGTGTGTGTGTGTGTGTGTGTGTGGTAAGGGGGAGGGGAGTTAAGTTTGGATAGGGCAGCCAAGAAATTATTATCATTAGTTTTCTCTTCATTGTAAATTCACTGTGTGACCTTAGGTAAATCACTCGATGTCTCTGAACCTTGTTTCCTTGCCTATAAAAGGGTGGCAGGAATGCCATATGGATTGCTGGAAGGACTAAATGAAATCCACCAAAGAAACTTAGTGAAGGCCCTGGCATTCAATAAATGTTTCCAATAACTGAGAGCTAGTTGGTCTTGGCTGCAGACTGGCTGCGTGACCTCAGGCAAGTCATTTCCCCTCTCTAGCCCTGTTGCCCCCTCATAAAGAGCAAGTAGACCAGACAGGTCAGCTCTTGCACCATGAATTACAAGTCTTGGTCCCTTGCAGTGTCATTCCCTGTATTTGTCCTCACCTGTCATGCTGGTCTGCCGCCGTTTTCGGCCCTGAGAGGTGCTAGGCCCACCGGGGGATCCCTCAGGCCTCTCAGGGGAGCGAGGCACAAGGGTGCAGGACAGCGACAGGTCCACGTGGTCCTCCTGAGCTGTCCCCTGCAGCAGGGCAGGTGAGCTGCTGGGCCGCTTGCCTCCTCCCAAGTTGTCCTGGGTCCCGCGAGGCCCTGAGGGCAGGTAGACCCTGGGCAGACCCAGGCCCCACACACGCTCCCAGGCAAAGTCACCCTCCAGTGGCGTCTCAGTGACAAAGTCGAAGTTCCATCGCTCACAGGCCTCCTGCACACAGCTGGCCATTAGCGCATCACAGTCTCGACGCAGCTGCTCACTGTCCACTGGACCGAAGAGGCGACGGCAGACTTTGCTGCCACGGGGGATCGGGCGGGCATCCCGGGATGGCTCGGACATGGTGCCTGATGCTGAGACAGAAGAAAGGCCCTGGTCACTGGGGAAACAGGACCTCCTTACCAGGTCATGCTCAGGTGAGGTCTTCCTACTAGAATAGGTGGTGAGAGGGTATCTCTGGCTCTTCCCAGATGATTTTCCACCACCTCCTTCCCACAGGGCCCCCAATCTCCCACCAACAGACACTGGGGGCATAGCTCAGCCAGCATGACACCCCAGCGTGACTGGGAGAGCTGGCAGCTGAAGGGCAAGCTTATGTCAACAGTTTATTGCAATAGCAGGGATCAGGGGTCTGTTTACCACCAGGTATTATCAGCTAAAATCAATTTACTTTGCCGCTCCTGAGGTGCCCCTCATGGGTGTGAATGCCCCGAGTACGTGCGAATTGTGAGTCGCCCAGCAGTTTCCCAGCCTTGGCCAAGAGGTCAGTTCCCAAATGGATGGACATCTCCAGCTTCCTGAATCCTCTCCCCTGATGCCCATGTTGGGTAACCCTGCTCTAACACTTAAAAGTATCCTGGACTTCGGGATAAAAAACACCTGGGATCTCGGTGTACCTTTGCTGCTTACTATTTAAACTTTAAAAAGTCACTTCATGTTTCTGGGCCTCAGTTTCCTCACCTGTAAAATGGGGCTTTATGAAAGTTTAAAGAGCATGGCTGTTGAAGTATGGCCAAACAATTGGCCAGGAGTCCCTCTAGACAAGGCAGGAAGAACAGAGTTGACAGGCTGTGTCTTGTGGTTAGGAGCCAGGGCTCTGGTGCAGGGCTGCCTGGGTTGGAATCCAGGCTCTGCTGGCTGACCCTGGACAAGCAGCTTAACTTCTCTGGCACTATTTTCCTCATATTTAAAAGGAGACAATAGCAAATGTCTCCCAGGACAGATGGGAGGATTGACTGAGTAGGGAATGTGCTGAGAGCAGCACCTGGTATACAGAAGTGCTTGGAAGACAGAAGTGTAATTGTTTCTCTCTGCCTTCAATTCTGGCTGAGCCTCCACCCCTCACCACCCGCCCCCTCTCCCCCGTCACCCCGTCCCGCCACAAGGCCACCACCTCCTTCAGACAGCAGCTGACAGGTGCTGTAGGCTGACAGCCTTTCATAAGGACGTCATCAGGACAGTGGCCTGGGGCTGAGGAGGAGCTGGGCAGGGCAGGGCAGAGCCCTGATTTCTCCCAAGCTGAGCCACATCCTGCCAGACCCGTCAGGTGATCTGAAGTCTAGACAGCTTTGAAGGCCCTGCCCAGTGTTGCCTGCATCCAAAAAACCCATTTTCCAGGCAAAGAAAATCAAAGGTGGTTGGTCTGCCCAGTCCCTCTCCTCCCACTTCAGGAGCGGGAAAGCCAGGGGAGCACTGGCACCCCCCTGCCTGGCTCTTGCCTGACTCTAGGGCTGAGCGGCTGCATGACATCAGCAGGGACTAGGTTTTCTGGGGACAAGTCCCAATTTGCAGGTCAGAGAGTGAAAACTCTGCTGAAGGATGTTCTGGGGCAGGAAGCTCTGGACCTATGACACACCTACTGCACCCCACTCCAGCTCAGGTCTCGGCTGATAGCGGAGGTGACCTCAGACTAAGTTTAAAGGGCAGGATTTTGAACACGATACTTGCCCCCAATCCATACAGCTAAAAAAGGTCAATGGCCACTGCCTCATGGAGAAGTTACATGGTGCAGAGCCTTCAAATAACCTATGCCCACTGTCTTCAGGGCAAGGATTGAAAATTTATTTATATATTCTTATGTGCCAGAGATGTTCTTAAGAGGTTTACAAATATTAATTTTCCTTTACAAGCAGGTATATGAGCTCCGTTTTAGAGAAGAGGTAACTAAGGCTCAGAGAAGTCAAGTAACTTTCCCAAGGTCACATAGCTCACACATAGCACATCCAGGATTTGAAGCCAGACCTATTTGCCCTGAGTTCTGTGCTCTGGTGTTGAAACCTTGCTCCCTCACTAATTTTGAGGTTTCTTAACCAGGAAGGCCCATCAAAATCACTTGGAGAGCTTTCACAAAATGTAGATCTACAAGCCCCTCCCTCCCCAGACCAACTTAATTCAAAACTGAAGGGGATTTGAGCGAGTATTTGGCAGTTCCCCGGATGGGAACACACGAGGGGACAAACGGGATGCTGAAATGGACATTCTCAGTGCCTTGGAGCACGAGGAGGCGCTCCCCTAGGGCTTTACCGGGAAGCTGGGTATTCCTTGGCTTCTGGGAGCTGAAGATGGGACTAGAATCCAAACAGGGACCCTCTCTCCTTCTACCACCCCTTCCTTTATGACTCTCATAGAGACCCCATCAAAATCTCTTCTCACGCCTCTTATCATACCTCCCAGCTCAGAGGGAACTCAGACACAACCTCCGTTTTACAAATAAGTAACTGAGAATAGTCCTCTTCGTTGGCCCTAGTGCCTTAGACTTGAACCAATTTTAATTCCCAAGTCAATATTAAGCACTCAGTAAACACTGCTGAACCAATGGGGTACTCTTTTCAGGGGGCGTTGGAAGGCAGAGTGAAGGTGGGGGTAGCGACGTGGGATGAGCCCAAGAGTAATCGCGGGAAGGGAGGCGGGAGATGTCGCATTACGCCGGCAGGCGTGTGTGCTGTTCGCTTTGGGGCCGGAAGGGGTCGCTAGTCTCCAGGAAATCACTCCCGTGTGGGAGGTGCGCGGGCAGACAGTGGGTCTGCAGGAGGCAGTTGCGATGAGTCAGTTTCCTGCAAAGTACTCCCTTGCCCGCCAAAACTCAGCTTCCACTCTGGCTGCGCGTCATTCTCAGCTGGAGAGGCGGGGAGGGAGGGGACCCGGGGCAGCGAACACGTCAGGCTGACCCAACCAGGATTCCGAAACCCCCGCCGCTGTTGGGAAACCTCGTGCTCTCGCGCCACCGCTGTCACACACACACACACTCACACACACACACACGCACGCACGCACACGCACGCACGCACGCACGCACACAGGCGCGGCGATCTAGTCCCTCCACCTTATCTCCACGCCCAAAGCAAGGGATGAGTCAGATCCCTGGAAAATAAAAATAGACGGGAGCAAAGAAAACAAAACTTCTCGAAAGGCCTCCCCGAAACGCGACATGGAGGGCGGGCGCTGCCTGAACGCCCTAAAGTGCCAAACCCAGTTCCAAGATTCTTTTCCGCAGGAGGGCGAAGTGTCCCCAGAGGGTCCGGGACTGGGCGGCGGCACCCGAAGGGCGGGTCGCCTCCTGCTTGGTTCAGCCCTGTCACCCTGGGAGAGGGAATTCTGGGCTAGGTCCGGGACGCCCCAAGCGCCCGATAAAGGGACAGAGCAGCGTCGCGCCCCGCGAAGCCTCGCCCCTCCAAGTTTCGACACCGCCCCGCCTCCCACCCGGGCGTGGACCGCACACCCAGTCACTCCGCAGTTCAGGACACTGTTCCGTCCAGTAGACCGTCGCCCGGACGGGAGGGCAGGCTGGGCCGGGGTCTCCGGGAGGCGGTGACAGAGAGGAGGGTGGGACTCCAGCGCTTCCCGAACTGACGGCTGCAGCGAGCCCCCCCCAGCGCGGGGTCGCGGCTCCAGGTCCTCAGGGCAGGGAACGGACACCCGGTCCTGGACCTTCCGGAGCCTGGCTTCCCTGGAACACTTTGTGCCAGCCTGTGCTGATAGGTCACCGTGCTGATGGGGGCGGACGGACAGACACTTCGGAGGGGCAAAGAAGGGAACTTCTGGGGCGTAATTGTCTCGCAGCTCTGGCCGTGTTCTCGGGGTCTCTTTGTCACCGTGAGTCACCTCCTCATTGGCCCTTAAGGGACATGTCGCGACTTGTCCCCAAGCTGGGGACACAGCCCGCGCTGACCTCAACGCCCAGCCGGGGCGACGGACACTACGGCGTCGGAGACCCAGACCTCAGAGATCTGGGCAGGGGCGGACCCGAGAGGCGCCCGGGGATGGGTCCCTGATGAACCTGCTGCCGCGTTGGGCGTTCCTGCCCCTGCCGGCCCTCCGCGGACAGCGACTCATCCCCACGCCGCGAGCCAGCTGCGCCCCGTCCTCGCCCCGGCAGAGTTTCAAGGGGAGGGGAGCTTGGCAACGGATCCCTCGTACGCGTGCCCCTCTCTGCCCCGACCCCCGTCATACGCGCGCCCCCACACACCCATGTGAGCAAAACCGAGACCCACGCACAGACTCACGCACGTCCTTCACCTGTGGGACACAGCACGCACACACACGCCCGCGGACACATACGCGGATGGGCATGCACGGACACACGCTCCCAACCGCCCGCCCGGGCGGGGTCGGTCCTTGCTGGCCACGGCCCCCTCACCTCTGAGGGTCTCTGTGCCTCGGCAAATCGCGGCCGGCTCCGGATCTCCACGCCACCGACTCGGGCAGCTGCTCACCTCTCAGCTGCCGCCGCCCGAAGTGGTGCTTTTAAGGCGGTGACTTGGGAGGCGGGACCGGCCGCTGGGCCCACGGCGCCTGGAACCGCCCTCCCCCGGGACTCGCGCCCCTCCTCCGCGCCTGCGGCGCGCCTGGTTCTCGGAGCTCCGACTCCATCCTGGAGTCCTGCGATTCCCTCCTCCCAGCCCCGCGCTCGGGGGTCGTGCGCTCGACCATTTTCCCCACCAACTGAGCCTCAAATGTGGGAGTTTTTTGGTTAGGGAGTGAGTTGGCACACGCCAGGAGGGATGGCACTGTTAAGATAAGCCTTTTTCTGGCTCTGAAAAGATCACAAGGAATGACGTTCCTAGTAAATAAAAATCCACAAGTAATAACAATAATGCGTCTCACTTTTCAATTCCCAGAGAAGCCCCACATGATCCCACCACTATTCCCACGGGTCCCTCGCTAGACCACCTCACCCCAAACACCAGGGACACCCAGAGACCCCAACAAAGTCTTGTGAAGGCCTGAAGCAGATTCAGTCCCCTTTATTTCACAGATGAGGCCCACAGAACTAAAGGGATGCTGAGTTGTTGCTTGGTGATGCCTCAGGAAAGGAAGGAACAGGGGACCCTTCTCAGAAGGGGCACCCTGGTCTCCAGGGGGGAATCCTGCCTTGAGCAAACCTCCCTGCACCCTCTTCCTCACTCCTCACGCCCACCTCTCTCACCTCAGCAGAAGAAGCCTCTGTGATTGCCACTCGTGTGATGGCTAGGAAGGGGAGAAGGACTTGGGGAATGAGCTGTCTCCTGGATGTTCCCCACACAGCCCCCATACACTGCTGGGGAAACAGGCTCAGAGAAGTTCAGTGACCTTACTCAGACCACACAGCAAATACATGGCCACGGTTGGATCCTAGGCATTTTGTCTCCCGTCCAGAGTTCTCTGCTGGTTGCCCTCTCTATTTCAGAGGCTCTAGAATGAGGAAAACACCCAAGACCCCTCGTTTCCAAACAGCTCACGGAGGTGACACTGATCAAGAACAATTCTGGAAATGCCCCCTGGCGCTTCTGACAGATACAGAAGCAAGCGACGTGCCCATATGTTCCCATGAACTCCCACATCCCTAGATCCCCTGAGACCCCCACCTTTTCCCCCTTCCTTCACCCAAAACACTTGCAGTTTCTGCTTTGAAAAATGTGCAGAGAACAGAGTAAATCAGAATAGAAATACCACTAAAAGACACAATCCAGATGTAGAGCAGCTACAATTATTGACATCTAGGGCTGTTCAGTGTCTGGAAATCTCTGCCCGGACATGCCCCGGCCTTCTTCCTCTAACAGAGCTGACCTCAGGGAGGGAAACCTCCCTCTCCCTCTGCCCCCAGCCCCAGCACACACATACCCGCACCACCCGAAGGCTGGGTTTCAAAAGTCCAACGGGAGGCAGACACATCCTCCTACTGCCTTGAATCCCCCGGGCTTTCAGGCATTTCAAATAGACTGGACATTGTCTGACTGTTTACTTTGGGGGAAAAAAATTTTAATGAAGGCTTGCATTGAACTACTTACAGTTTTGTGGTACGGAGCCTCACAATGAAATAATTCTTTTTGTTGTTGTTATTGGGAAGTGAAGCTGTTTTGTTGTTGTTGTTTTCATTAACCTATAGATCACTACCACCACCGTCACAATAGAACTCAACAAATATTTATAAAGCACCTATGGAGTGTGTAGCCAGGCATGTTCTTAAAGGAGGACTTCTGCCCTGAAGAGGGCAAAGGAGCACGTTGTTCTAAGCCACACAGGAAATCTGACTCCCAAAACAAACAAAAAACACACACGCAAGTGTGTGCACACAACAAATCTCAGACCAATCCTAAGAGATATGCTGAAAATCACATACTCTGTTCAGGAAAACTCAGACTAAGGTCTCCCTGGGGTCTCTGGGGGTCTCCTGTCTCCTACTACCCCCCTAAGCAGGGAGCCCCAAGGACAAAACAGACATCAGCCTCTTCTCTGCCAGGTCTCAACATGCTGGGACATGTCCCTGAGGGCTAGAGGGCCAGTCAGCGCCACAGTCTGCTGCCCGGGCAAGCTCCCAGAACGCAGGCAGCTTAGGGATGGAGCAAGGCTTAGCCGGGGGCTGCGGTGGGGGGGAGGGGGACGACAAGAGGGTCCAGATCCGCTCCCACCTGGGAGGGAGCTGACGGAAAGGAAAAGTGGAAAGCCCAAGCCTGAGAAAGGAGGATGTGAGGAGGACTCAATGGTGGCTGCAGAACTTCCCAAGAAGAGAGAGGAAGTGCTGGGAACAATGTCACCATTTCTCAGAAAAGGCTCGGGGAGTCCCAAATCGGGGCAGTGAGCTTTCAGAGAAGTTTACCTCCACACTGGCTCCCAAGAAGTGAGACCCCACAGAAGAGGCAGAATAGAGATATCACATTACTAAGCAGAAGAAGCTCTGCTTTTTTTTTCCTTTTCTTCTTTTTTTTTTTTAAGGAAGAATGAGATTGGGATCTGCCACCCCGTCCCCATGAGGGCTTTACTCAGCCAGTAAAGACCAGGACTGACCATAGAGTGAGGCAGAGAAATTTGTGACAGAATTTGTGCTACACAAACATTTCCAGCCAGCATCCCCAAGCTGGAAATTTCACCTTGCCTAAGCCTGAAGTTTCACCATGAGAAATTCATTCCTTTGGCATGAATTCTGTTCTTTATTAAATAAGATCATATAGGCAAAGTGCTTAGTATAGTGCCTGGAACATAGAGATCACTCTATGAATATTAGCTATTATTACTGCTATACAAACACCTCCAAGGGAGGCATCCATTGAAATTTAGTAATCATTTCCACTTCAGTGGTATCTTTGGTAGGTTTTCCAGAATACACACTCTGAAGTGGAGATTCGCTTGAAGGATGTTTCTTGGAGAGTGCATGTGCAATCAGCACGTGGAGTATAAAGGAAACAGGATTGGGTTGAGAGAGGACTTGAGTGTGACAGAGACTGGAGGCCCAAGAGGCCTCGGCTGATCCCATAGGGAGCTCTGGAGCTAGGAGAGTCCTGCAGAGTTCCCTGAAGTGAAGCTAGCGGCAGGGCCTTTATACACCAGCCATTTGGATGTCGCTCCCTGTGGAGTAGGGGGTGATGACCTTGGACAAGAGAGCTCCCTTATCTGTGAACTGATTTCTAATAAAGGACTCAACTGCAAGCACTACTAGTCAACACTTTCAACAGCCAGTGGGGAGGATGGGTGCCTGGGTCCACAGAGGGTGGGTGGCGCAGCATGATGTGAACAAGTTGATTAGACAGTTATGGATTAGAAAGTGGTAAGGAAATGCAGTGAATACAGACCACCTGAGGAGTGATGGGCTTGCACAAATTGTTCCCTTTTCCTGGAATAACTGTTCCTGACCTACCTATGCCACCTTCATTCCTTTCTCCACTGAACTCCTATTGACCCTTCATGGCCCAACTCACATGACCCTTCGTAGGGAGGCCTTCTCAGAGCTCCCTCTGACTCCTAGAGCTCCTGGTGAGCAATGCACTCCACTGGGCTTTGCTGGTCTGCTTGGTTTATGTGCCTACTGCATCAGCTGATCTGGGAACCTGGAGGGAATGAGCCTGTATTTTATCTATCTTTCTACCTTTGAGGCCTAGCAGCCTCAACTGGAGCTCAGTAAATATTTATGGAAGTGCCATTTTTAGCCTTCACTCTGTGGCTGGGCTCCAGTGCCTTTGCAGATCACTGATAACCTTCCTATAAATTTCTCTCCTATTCTGACCCCTTCCTCCTCTACCTTGTATTTTATGTTGAACTCTTTTGTTTCCAACAGTTTTATCACATGCGGCCAAGACAGTAATTTTAATACTCACCCAGTTCTCTGTGTGCTCTTCTGCATTTCCCAGCAGCCCCTTGCAGGTTAGACAAGGTCATGTGACTCATTCTAGTCAATGAGATGTGAGCATAAGTGACACTGCCTCTTTAGGGCTGAGACCAGGAGAAACTCTCCAGCCTTTCTGTCTTCCATGACTGTGGCAAAAGTGAGGTCTCACCTCAACATGAGGGAGCCTCCATCAGCCTGAGTTCCTGAGTGACAGTGTGGAGAAGAGCACTCCGCCAACCTGTGTGGGATATGTATGTGAGAAAGAAATAACCCTTTGTTGTGTGAAAGTCCCTGAAATGTGGAGGCTATTTGTTAATGCAGCATAACCTACCAAAGATTTAGACATGCGGCTGTGGGTGGTTGTGGTTTGTGGAAGTCTACGGCACCCAATGCAGTATACCTCTGGGGTCACACTCTTTTGTAGCTGCCCCCACCCCCTTGAATATGCCTGGCTTGTACCTCTTTTAGTCAACAGAATGGGACAAAAGTAACCCCGTGCCCATTCTAGGCCTAAGCCTTGAGAAGGTCTAGCAACTTCTGCTTTTGCGTATCTGGAGACCTAGAGTTCCATGTGAGAAGTTGATTAGCCTGAAACCACCACGCTGTGAGAGGTCATGTGGAGAGGCCACATGCAAGACAACGGAGGGTCTCCCCCTGAATAGAGCCAGCTGATCTCCTACCCGACAGCCAGCATCAACATGCCAACCGTGTGAGTAGGGCCATCTTGAAAGTTGAGCTTTCAGCCCCAGTTGAGCCTCCCAGCTGAAGGCACATGAAGTGAGGGACAAACCACCTCCAATGAGTCCCTGTCTAAATTGTAGAACTGTGAGCAAATAAATGGTTGGGGTTGCCACTATGTTTTAACATGATTTGTTAGGTCGCAGTACATTATAAAAACAGGGCTCAATAATTTTCACTGTTATTTAATATCCAATAATACCTTTTCCTGTCAATGGGACTTGAGTTATTTCCAATTTTGTGTCATTATATATAAGGCTGCTATGATTATTCTTATCCATGTCTCTGGGGTAAATGTGCAAGAGTTTCTCTTGGATATATACTTAGGAGTAGAATTACTGCCACAATCTTCCTGTCAGGAGAAAAGTGATTGGAGAAGCCTCACGCCCAGTGCTTGGGTCTCACTTCCTGTCTCTTTCAGGATTATTGGGACAAGTCTAAAGCCCTGAACACATGTTAAGAATTATCATTGCTTGTATTTTTGCAGAGGAACAAAAAGGAATCCAAAGGAATGAAGCACTAATGGTGGAATTTCAGACACTATGACACCTTAGTGTAGATTTGGTGGCAAGGGGAACTGCTCACAGACACTGACCAGTCCTCTGAGCTGGGCTTGAAAGCCCCCAAGACACCTCTCTCTCCAGACCCTTTAGCTCAGAACAGCTTCTGGATGATCCCAAAAGAGTAGGAATTATGCCTTCTTTCTTTCTTTTTCTTCCCTAACTAATGATTTTTAAGCCCCTCCCAAGAAAAAGCCCCATATCCATCAAAGTTCTGAGGATCTTGGGTTTGGATCCTCTGATTGCATAGCAGTGTGGAGTCTTCCAAAGTAATTTCAGGATTTCAGATTTATTATCTCATGCTCAGCCTCCCCACCCTCTCCTGTCCCCATCCAGGACAGGTGTTTTAGACTCATACTACAGAGGGATATGAAAGCCTCAAGAGGTGACACAGGCAGTCAGGGCCGACCCAGGCTCTGGCTGCGGCCCCACCCCTGATGCTCCTCCTGCCCCCATCAGCTGCTTGTCCTTGTCTCGATTCCCTAGGATGGCTCTGAGCATCACACGTGGTCATCATGCCACTAAAGTCACTGTGAAATGCAACAGCTGCAACCCCCAAGCCCCCAGTGCTGGTGGCCCTACTGGAGCTGAGCTCAGAGCCAGGGAACAGATGATAGCTCCCTCCCCCCACCCTCAGTGGTTTCTAACAGCCTTACCCTCTGCTGGGAGGAATAATTGCCGATGTCCCCTCTCGGTAAACACAAGCAGCTCAGGGCCAGACTTAGGAAGAAAAGTTGGGGTATGTGTTAAGATGACACTAGCCCTTGTAACAACTACTTTCAGATCTCAGCGATAACCCAATAGAATTTTGTTTCTTACTCATATATGAATAAAATTGAGGCATTCGGTTGTCAGGAGAGTGGCTGACCTCCATGGGCTGTTTCAAGAACTTTTCATCCCGTGGCTCCATCTTCCCAAGGGCCCCAGGATCTGTGCTTCCAGCTGGAGGGGAGAGAAGATGCATGGAGGCATGTGCGTGTCTTCACACCTGCCTCAGACGTCACTGGGAACCAATTCCCACCCACATTCTATCGGCAACAACTTGTCATGTGGCCCACCTCAGTGCAAGGGTCCATGTAGTCACACAGCAGGGAAGCGAGGCAGGTGAGGACCCCTCCTTTCCTCCTTCTTCCAAGTCCGTTCCTGCCCAGTGCCTGGCCATGGCCCCCCGCAAGAACAGTGCCACCTGCAAGCTGAGTGTTCCTGGACCCCACTATCTTCATCCCTGAAAGGGTGGGGAAAAATGAGGTAGACATGAAATCCCCCAGCTCCTGGAGGAGGAAACTAGGACACAAAGGGCAGTGTGATTTGCCTAAAGTCACACAGCAGGACCCGATTTCTCCCTTCCCATACACAGGCTTGTTTTGTTTTCACAGGCCAACATCAAAGCCTGTTGAGGAGCCATTGGACTGCAAGGCAGGAAAATTCCTTCCTCAGCAAATCCATTAGAAAACGTCCTGGGGCCCAGGAGGATTAATAAGAAAAGGCTTTTTATTGCCCCAAATGCAGGTACAGAGACCCTGACAAGTTCTCGATGGGGCGGGCGTGTGGACCCCAGCTCAGACCTGGTG